CCTTATTTTCCAGATTCAGTAAACTGTCAAACTCTAAATAGGTAACTAAAATGGGTACATTAGCTAAAAAAAAGCTCACCAGTAATCATTTTAACATTTACTCCTAGATTCAGAGCCCTTCGGATTGTCTCGGCACTATCATGCCTAGGAGGATCAAAAAGTGGCATGAGCCCAAAAAATTGCCATGGACCTCCTGGGCTCTCTTTCCTTCCTTCAGGAACTTCCTGTAGAGCAAGAAAAATGATTGTCAATTCATAACGATAATCATCTTGAGCGACCTACGCCTGTCTTTAAATTCAAATGACACTGGAGATTAAATATAACATTATCATTATTGCTTCACCTGGTATGCAACAGCAAGGGATCTTAATCCCCGCTCAGCAAATTTATCGATGACCGAATGGACTCGTCGCTCAATCTCAGCTCTGTTGTATGCAAGGTTCAGTATCTGGAAATCAATCATGGTATTCATTGGTCAAAGGTCTAATATTTAGAGCAAACATTACAAGAAATTATTTGTGAGAGAGTTTTTGACTAACCTGTTCAGGAGCTCCCTTGCTAGCTCGATGCATTTTACCATCACTATCAATGTACGTCAATGCAGTGCGCTTATCGGTCGGATTGAATGGCAAGAAATGAACCTCCTGAATTCCGGCCCTTGCCTTTTTATTTGAAACACATATTATATAGTCAGTAAAAAGAAACTGTAAAAATGTAAACCAAGACAGACCGTTCTCCTAATTGAGGCACATAAGATCTTCATACAACTTCATGCAGCAAACTAAGGAATATATATATAGGGAGTGGTTCAAATAAAAACCTCTTCTGGTGTGAGAACCGTGAGAACCATATTTGATGCTATTTTTAATTGTGTATGATGCTATTTTTAATCTTACATGGTGCTATCATTTTTACAAATGCTAAGTTGCTATTTTTAATAAAATACATCCTGATTAAAAATAGCACTAAATAAGCAATANAGCCAACATCCCTACAATTGCCGCATCAATCGCATCTTGATTTTCCAACCGAGAGGCTCGGGCAGCCATCAACACAACCGTATCAGCATCCACTCCTTTTGTAAAAACCTGCAGTTAGAAATACAAATGTTATCACATAGCTACATTGCTTAATTCAACTTTAGATACGCAAAGTCTTAAAGTATTCCATTAACCTCAATGAGATTTTTATCGACTGTTAGCTTATTTAATGTCAGAGTTCCAGTTTTGTCACTGCAAAGCACATCCATGCCGGCCATTTCTTCAATTGCTGTCATTCTCTTAGTGATGGCTCCCTGCAGGTTATTGACAACAAACCAATACATGAATCAAATAAATTCAAAACCAAAAATGGAAAATTTCAACCTAACCATCAAAATACAATTATACCTGCTGGGACAAACGGTGTGAACCAATTGCCATTGTAACAGACAAGACCGTTGGCATTGCAATTGGAATTCCTCCAATCAGAAGCACGAGCAAATTATCAATTCCTGGACGATAAGCACGGTGTTGAATAGGGTACATAACAATAATCTCGATAATCATTCCCACTGCAATCGAGCATATGCAGAAGTTCCCAATCGCAGTCAAGACCTTCAATGGACAAACAAAATCACCTCATGAAAACCAAAAAAATCAACAACAAAAAATAGTAATACGAACCGGCAACATCTAATCTTCAAGCAAAGGCAAAACCCTCAAATGCTCACCTTCTGAAAATGTCCTACTTGATTAGTGGAGTCCACTAAGTGAGCTGCCTTCCCAAAGAATGTATGAACACCAGTTGCAATGACCACAGCATCAATTTCGCCCTGTTTCACTGTAGAACCCGAGTAAACACCATCTCCAGGGGCTTTTGTCACGGGCAGGGATTCACCAGTTAGAGCAGACTGCAAACAAGAATCAGCACAAATTAAAATAAAATAAAAGTATACACATATACATTAAGAGAACACAAAAGTTAGAGGAGAACCTGGTCTATTTTTAAAGGATCTCCGTCAAGGAGACGAGCATCTGCAGGAATAATATCGCCCAATTTTATACTGATTACATCGCCAGGAACAAGAACCGCTGCATCTTCCTCATTCCAATGCCCATCACGAAGAACCTAAGAATAATTTTAGTTGCATCACCAGAGAGAAAGTGCTTCAAAAGAGAAATAAACAATCACGATAAGCTATTAGAAACATGCATTGCTGTAGGTAGAACGGGATATGCACCTTCGCTTTAGGTGCTAGACGGGCCATGAGAGCAGCAGCTGCATTCCCGGCATTGTTCTCCTCTATGAAACTTATGGTCGAGTTAATCACCAGAAGAATTATGATACCAACAAAATCCTGCCAATCTGGTGGTCTTCCCTGCAAAACACGAAATAGCAAATAGTAAAGCTTAAGAGCAAACAACAAATAGTAAATAGAACTGAAATTTACATGGATTACTTTCCCACTGGAATAGACAACCAGAGGTTACACTGTTCGCTCACTTATTAGTTATTACCCATATACGTGGAAAACAACAAAAAAAGTGAACAGAAAACAAAAGAAGGTAGCAACAATAATGTCTACAGAAGAGCAACAGAAACCAACACGCAAAGAGATATAGAGATAGAAAGAGAGAGAGCATACTCCTCCATTTGCAAGAGCTATGGCCATAACGGCGGCGGCCTCCATCACCCACGACAGAGGATTCCACATAAATCCCAAGAACTTCAGAACTTTACTCTCCTGCAATTTTTCATCATATGTTTACATAAAAACCAGAGCAAAACCCATTATCAGACACGAGAAAATCCCCAGTAAAGAAGAAAGGAAAACTTAGCAAATAAAACAAAAAAATTGTTCGTAAAAAAAAGCTGACCTCCTTCTCCTCAAGCTTGTTCTGACCAAAAATTTCAAGCCTCCTGTTAGCATCCTCCGACGTCAGCCCCTCCCTCGTGCATCTCAGATTCTCGAACACCTCCGGCACCGGTATATTTTCCTAAACAAAATCAATTCGAGCAAAACTCAAACCAGAAAACATCGAAGAACGAAAAAAATGAACAGCGAAAACGACGAAAATCGTAAGGTAAACAAAAAAAAAATAGAAAAAGAAGAACAACACACCAAATCAACCGTCTCTCTCTTGAGAGCCTCCATAGCTTCATCCTTCGCCGCCATCCCTACCAAAAACAGACACAACAATCAGCAGATTTTTTGTTTAAACTCTCACCTCTCTTAAGGTATGCATACTCTTGACGGCTTGAGCTCTTAGTTATGGACACCAGATTTTTTGTTTATTTTTTCTTTTTTGGAAAGGAAAACAAACCTGAGAAAAAGTCTAGTTCCCTACGGCACTTGGACTGTAACAGTAATCCACTGAAACAGAGATGGAGTGATAACGAATATGAAGCGACTATATATGGCTGCCATGTATATACTGTATACACACGCGCCTGATATGCCAGCATGACACGCGCGAGACGGGGCGCGTGCAGTAGAGGGCGGTTGGGTAGTGTACGGTTGCAGGTGAGCCGCTGTATAGGACGAGCGGAAAATATCATGTACGTGCGTGTGCATAGTAAAAATGTGTGAGCAAACTACTTTTATATTTTATCCAGAATTATGGAATAGCTTATTAATTTGCTTGTCTTGTCTCTACTAATCATAAAATTCATCAAATCGTTTTGGGCAATTCACCGCTTGGACGTTTTTGCCCTTCATTATTCTCTCTCTACTCTCTCTTTCTACTTTTTCCCTCTCGATTTTCTATGGCTCTTTGACCGTCAAAAAAATTTTGAAAAAATACCAAAAAAATACCATGACATCGACAAGACATTAAAGATTGACCATGTATTTTATTTTTACTTTGTAAATAATTTTTAAATTTTTTTTTTTCTTTTTTTTTACGCGTCCTAGGCGTCCTTCTTCGCCGGTGGACGCGCCAAAAGGCGTCCGGTTAGGCCGGTAGGACGCGTAAAAAAAAAAAAATTAAATTATTTACAAAGTTAAAAAAAAATACATGGTCAATCTTCAATGTCTTGTCGATGTCATGATATTTTTTTGGTATTTTTTCGAAATTTTTTTTACGGTCAAAAGAGCCGTAGAAAATCGAGAGGGAAAGAGTAGAGAGAGAGTAGTGAAGGGCAAAAACGTAATTGAGAGAGATGTGGTGAATAGTAATAAGGGACGGTGAATAGTAATTCAATTTCTTTTTCATTTCTTAAATAATCACAATAAAATTATATTGTTAGACTATCTAACCGTTTAGACTTTGAAGTTTGGACATTTATCATTTTACATAAATAAAAAACAATACATACTTATACTATATATTGCTATGTTCTTATTCATTTTTATTTTAAATAAGACATTTGAGTATAAAAATATTGCTATGTTTTTATTTATATTTATGTGATATTACATTAGGCAACCTAACCTAATAATTACTTATATAATTATGTTACTCATTTTAGAATTTTAAATTTATCAAGCACAATATAACTAGGTCGACACAAATGACTCTCTTAAAATATTGCTTATTATTTAAGCAATTATACTCTCTTATACAAAATCCATATTTGTAACATGAAATAACTTACGTTTATATTATTAGTGTGTTTGATAAGCATCATAAACTAGTTAATAGATTATTTAGTTAAGTTATAATTTTTCTAACTAAATAAGCCATAACATTTAGTCAATCGATAAAATTAAGCTTTCAACAGACTAGTTAATTTTAACTAACGCTTTTATTATATAGACTAGATTTTCAACCATCAGCCATAAGCCATCGACTATAAGTTAAAGTAGTATAACACATGGATCAAACAATTATGACTATGAGCTCAATATTTATGTACTTTGGTGAATACACTTAGTTACTTAATAAAAAATTTTGTTAACCAGTTAAATAAATAATTGATCAAACCATTGGATAGCAAAAGATTCGGCCCACTTAGCTATATAATATATGGACACGATGGATTGCCTCTGTTCTATTTATATGTCATTTTTTGTGCTCGTTATTATTTTTTTTTCTTTCAAATAAGCATTCACTTGCATTTTGCGAAGGTGCAATAAACATGATATTACTTCAATTTTCTACTCGTAATTGTTGTATATCACTAAGCTTTGGCCTCAAATGAATTTTACATGACATTATTCATTTATTTGTTCAAGATTTAAATTAATTTAAAAGGTTTAAATAAAATATTTTTCTTGTAAGCAAAATGGGCCAAAAAGTTCAGATTAATTCGGATTCAATTTACTCAAATTCATTCGTTTTAATTTAACCAGCGTAAACAAATTGAATTGAACTAAGTTTGAATCAATATATAAGTTTAAACACAACTTATTTATCAATATTAGTTAACAAGTCTAGATATAAAAAGTATTATTATTGTTTGTTAACGAGACTAATTGATTAAACAAGCTCTACCCATTTACTAAACGAGTTAAATGAGCTTGAGTCTTAGCTAGAGATGTAAACGAACCGAACGTTCGCGAATAAAAGTTCGTTCGAGCTCGTTCGTGTTCGACAAAAGCCCCCGTTCATTTGTTAATCGAGCCGAGTTCTAACAAAAAATTAGGCTCGTTTAATAATCGAACGAACACGAGCTTGTTCGCGAACGTTCGATGATATTAGCGAACATTAATTTAATATTAATTTATTTTATTTTTCATATATTTACATATATTTTTTTTAAATCTAAAATATTTTTTTTTATTTATTTTCGAGTTCGAACGAACAAATTTCGAGTTAATCAAACATATTTAAAAAGTTTATGTATTAAATTATTCGAACACAAACGAACTCGAACATTGACGAACAACTAAACGAACGAGCTCGAACACCATTTTTTGCTGGAAAAATAAACGAACGAACACGAATATTGTTTGAACGTAAACGAACACGAGCTCGAACAACTCAAGCTCAATTCAGATCGTTCAGATCTCATGAGGGGTTCGTTTTCTTTACCAACTCAGACTTTGATCCTTTCACGTGCATATTGATGAGGGTAAATAAATATTTTAAATAACAGACTGCTATTATGTAGAATTAACAGTTGAGCGATCATACTTTTTTAATAAATTATTATTATATTAAAATATCATACTTTAATAATACTATAAACAATAATATGCCATTCTATAATTTAATTATATATTTCATACAATTGTGATGTGTAATTTGTATTTTAACTAAAGCATGCATGACTCAATGAGTCAAGGTCAACAAACGCGAGAGGAATAGTCTAAAGAGGAGGCCTATTTTGGGCCTTTCCGTCATTTGACCGCTCAGTTTCAAAATTCAATAATTTTGGCAGGTGACGTACGGAATTGTCCTTTTATGCTGAAAATTGACAAGTGGCCAAAACTACGCCGTTTCTGTTTGAGAAAAAGTTTAAAATATTAGCCGTAGTGATTTACGTGACTGATAAATTCAATGACACGCCATAATTCCATCAACATAACATATTTCTTTGGGTTTCCAATTATTTATCTACACGATAGTTCCAATCTCACGTGAGAAATGAGATTCTAATTTGAGTTTGTTTTGCTTCATTTTAGCAAAAGAATAAAGTGAATATATAATAAAATCAAATAAACCTTGATGAATATTATCACTATTTTCCACTTATATCAAGGTCACCATCATTGTATTGCAATTAAAAAATCATAAATTTGTCCTCTAGGCTCTAGTTAAATTCTACAAGAAGACACTTCAAATTTACACATTCATCCAAAATTGGACCAGGCTAATGCACCACGTATTATTCTACTGATTTGATTGTCTGATGGGCTTTTATTAGCCTGGCAAGCCCAGACCAAAATATTTGTATGATGACATACAACTATTTATGTTAATAAACTTTGTGCTTTAGTAGTTTTCAGATAAAAATAAAAGAAAAAGACACTAAAATTTTATAATGATATATCTAATAAATCATTAAAAAAATGTCACAATTTCATATTAAATAGCTCAATTATTAGAGCAGTTAAACAAAATGAGTTGCTCGTGAGCTTGATTTGAGCTTGACTTTACTCAATAAAGACTCAAGTCGGTTGAGTTTGTTTTGATATCAAAGACTCGACTCGTTTACTATGGTTTTTTGGTATGTGAAATATTGATCTACATCTTAGATATATAAAGAAATTTCATGATGACAAATTGACAATAGGATAAAATACATAAGTTTTGTGGTTTTCTTAGGAGGCGATTGTATACCAATTGTACAGTAAAAAAATCAATCAAAACTCAACTTTAACTCAACTTCACTATCTCCAATATTATCAATATAATTAAATAATATCAACCAATCATTCTTACACATCACATCAACTTTAATTCATTATTCATCTACTCACATAATTTTAACTAACTATCACTTCTAATCATTTTCTCCTACTTTTACATCAAATCAACTTTAATTATTTTATTCTAAATATTATTTTAATATATCCATTAACAACTAACCATACCATCTTTTTTCAATAGTTAAAAAATAACCAATTTTTTATTAGTTGAATTCATATCCAATCACCCCCTTATTATTTCTTTTTTTTTTTTGGTCCACTTTTTCTCGGTAATGCCCCTAAAGTCCTTTTTAATGCTGAATTTTTTTTTCCCAAGGAAAACACATTCAACTACAGTAAAATAACTAAAAGAAAAATCAGAACCTCGTGTTATTGAACGTTTGTCCTTTTTTTTAATATTAATAATTTATGTAAATCCAAGAACATTTCCATTTAGTAATACGTATGTATATTTTTTATTTTAATATTTGGTTAAGAAATCACAAATTTTGACTGTAAGAGTTAAAAATTCACTAATTAATAATTCTTTATATGGAAATTCAATTTTATTATTGCAATTTCTCTTGAGAATGATCCCATAAGAGACCCAAAAAGTCGAGTAAATTTGAGACATTTTTCAATTTCCTCAATTTATCATGCGAATTGGATAAAGTTATGCAGCCATCATCATAAATTAGCAATATCATCAATCCACGGCTACTATTAGATTCAGTCCACACCATCCGCATTTAACTCCAAGATTTAGCAACGAGTTTGATGCCAAATCCCATAAGTTTCTAGAGCTATCATTAATAGTAATATAATGTGAATGTAGGTTATCTGTTTTGCTACGAAGCCAACAGTTGGCTCCATAGTGGAGCAAACCTTCTATATACAATAAATAACTGTTGGTTTCATAGTGGAGCAAACCTTCTATATACAATATATAAATAGTAGATTTATTTATTGTATATAGAAGGTTTGCTCCACTATGGAGCCAACTGTTGGCTTCATAGCAAAATCGTGTATGTCATACTAAATTTAAATATGACATTTAAATGTGAAAGTATATATTTTTGTTGAAAAAATATAATTGTCTAACTATTGGATAACCTAACACAACAGAAAGTTTATTGATAGCAGTGTTTCAAATAGCGCAATTTCGCGCGCTACGAAGCGCGCTATAGCGCATTTTTACCCAAAAACGCGACATAGCTTATATAATTTCGCGCAGTTCTAGAAAAGCGTACGCAATTTAGGCTATATTTTGCGCTATTTACGCAATTTACGCTATTTCTCACGCTATTTGGGTAATCGTTATTTATAGGCAAAAAATAAAATAATAAAATACAAAAAAAAATGTAGGGCACAAAATTGAGTAATTTCTCCCATGGCGAATTTGAGTGATTATTAAATCATGTTTCGTATTTCTCTTGAAAAAAAAATTTTGAAAAATTGATATCAACATATCTAAGATTGATCTTTTGGACTATTAGAATCATGAAATGTTTATGTTTCTTAAACTCAAAAGTGAAATGAGAAGAACACTTCATTTTTTTCTCCAAATGATGAGGAGATGCAAGAATTTGATGAAATTGTACTAATAATTTTTTATAGTGAAAATATCCGTAACTTTGATAGAATTGACGATGATAGCCAAATTCAATTGGATAACACCGATCATTTTAAGATTTTGAGTCTTTATTTTAAACATTAAGACATTGGTTGTTTGAAGAATTAATATTTGAATGTTATTTTTTAGATTCAATGTCCAAGTTTATGGTTTAAGACCATTTTAACTATTTATTCGCTTGTATGGTTATATATTATTATTTTTAGCATTAAAAAAGAATTGCTCGAATAGCTTACGCATATTTTAAACATTAAGACATTGGTTGTTTGAAGAATTAATATTTGAATGTTATTTTTTGGATTCAATGTCCAAGTTTATGGTTTAAGACCATTTTAACTATTTATTTGCTTGTATGGTTATATATTATTATTTTTAGCATTAAAAAAGAATTGCTCAAATAGCTTACGCAATGCGCTACGCTATTTACGCTACGCAATATAAAGACCAAAACGCGACGCATTGCGCGATGCGCGTTTTAAAACACTGATTGATAGTAATAATATAAAATATAAAGTGCAATTAGTTCCATATCTTCAACTTCTAACATACACGGTCTCATTGTTAGTTGATTGATCCGTTATACCTTCTAAGGGAAAAAAAATATACACTCACGATACACAATGACATACTTTTGTATATATTTTCATTCAGTTTCGATTATGATTTTAATAAGTGATCACACGTTCGTGGTGTAACATTTCAATTTTAAAATCGCATAGTTGTCATACACGTGTCAGAATTTAATTATTAGACATGACTATAGTTGTTAAACGAAGCGAGCTGGCACACTAATGGTCGAGCTCAGTTCGACTCGTTTGATAAACAAGTTGAGTTCAAGTTCGTTAAGTTAATGAATTGAGCTTTGCTCGATTCGGGTCAATCCAATATAAAAATGTTCATATGATTTTTTTATAATTCGACTCGTTAATATTAACAACTGAGCTAAGCTCAATCTCGCTTGCTTATTCTTTTAGTTTTATATGTATTATAATGCATATAATATATATGCCCATGAGCATAATTTTCGTTCAGCTCGTTCCATAAATGAGTCGAGAACAGCTCGGCTAATTAAGACCAAAAAAATAAGATTTTTCTTATAACTTATCACATTTTGCTAATTAAAAGTCGAGCCCGACTCATTAAAACTAGACTTTTGCTTTTCAATATTAACAAAGGAGTCGGTTTGAAGTCCATTTCTGAAATGTGAAGTCTATTGAGTGAAGCAAGAAACAAAAAAATAGCACCACTAAAACCCATCTTTANTTTTTTCTTTCTTTAGTCTTTACTCATTTTTCTCTAAAAGGAAAATAAATTCAGTCACAGACCAAACCAAACTCCCCACAAGCAAATCTTCCACCTCTCACCCACCTCAAATTTCCTTCACAAACACAACCAGCACGCCTGCAAATCTGCAGATTTGAGCTTAAACCCATTTGAATTTTTCTTTGCCCCCTTTTTCCCCCTGAATTTTGATGGGAAAATGAAGAAGCTGAAGAACTACTACCTTCAGTTCAAGCAACCCAAATCAAAATGGGTAACAATGGAGAGAAAGTGGATCTTCCCACTGGCCATCGGCTCCGTCGTTTCCCTTTTCCTGCTCTTCCTAACCACCTTGACCTCCCCCGACGGTGTGCCCCTCTTCCCCCTCCGGCGGTATTACTCCCCCTCCGCCGCGGCCGCTGCCGCCGCCTCCATCTTCGTCGAGCCGAGGCTGAAACCCTTGCCGATCAGCGATCTACCCCCGCCGCCGCGGCTGGCCTACCTGATTTCCGGCTCCGCCGGCGACGGCGCTATGCTCCGCCGCACGCTCGAGGCGCTCTACCACCCCAACAACCAGTACGTCGTGCACCTCGACGCCGAGTCTTCGGAGGCCGAGCGGCTCGATCTGCGCAATTACGTCAGCAACCACTCGATCTTCCGGAGGTTCGAGAACGTGCGGATGATTACGAAGGCTAATTTGGTCACATACCGTGGGCCCACCATGGTGGCCAACACTCTGCACGCGGCCGCAATTCTGTTGAAGGAAGGCGGGAATTGGGACTGGTTTATCAACCTCAGCGCGTCTGATTATCCATTGGTGACTCAAGATGGTTACAATTTTGGACTTTTTTACTTTATTAGTGATGAATAAAAATCCTTTCTTTTTTTTTTTTTTTTTTTTTCTTTTTTTTTTATCTTTTTTTACTTTTCTGGAAATAATGTGTTGAATTTAGCTGTGATTATTAATTTTGTCGGTTTGCTATTGAAATTGGCTTTGTTGATTCTTGCTGGGTGATCAGATCTGCTGCATACATTTTCATACTTGCCGCGGGATCTTAATTTCATGGATCATACAAGTGACATTGGCTGGAAAGAGTGAGTGATCTTTTTAATGTTATAGCTGTTTCTTCATCTTGAAGTGTGATTCAATGAAATTCATGGCAGATCTTTATGATTTTATGAAATGGTGTTCGTTTAGATTCCAGAGGGCGAAACCAGTTATCATTGATCCTGGTTTGTATATGACGAAAAAGACCGATGTGTTCTGGATTTCACAGAGAAGAAGTGTGCCGACAGCATTTAAGCTCTTTACAGGTGTGTTTTAGCTATAAAATAATTATGTGTTTTCTGGTTATGGACTTGTGGTTATATTTGTGTTCTTACTCGTTTAGCTTTTTATGGGTTAAATGCTACTACCTCTTTGGTATGGAAGAGCTACTGGTAACATGTGTTGTTTGTTCACTTTTTTTTCATGCCATATGCTTTATCATTTTTCTGATGATATATGTATGTAAACCTGGAGGATAATTATCTTGGATAAGGAATAATAATTACAGTTTTGGGCCACCTTCAAATTCCTTTGTGTTTTAGTACTGTTTTTCACATTTTTAGTAATAACCTACTGAATTGTGATAACACAACAGTATGACTGTATGGTTAAATTTCATTCATGTTCTGCTATAGTTCGTTCAAAAATTGTGATTTTTCTTTTTTTTTTTTTGTTATTTATCAGGTTGTATATTCAAACTATCACATAACGTCTTAGAATAATCTACATTGTCAATTCAGTGTATAAAGATTTGAACCAACTAGACTAGTGTTATTGTGTGCAATATTGTTTACTTTGATATATCAATGATGGGTCAGATCCAACTTGAACTGTTCATTCTTTGATACATACAAAGATGAAATCGGTTAATTTGAAACGAGGAGAGCACGTGCCACATGATTAGAATTTTCTCGACAGTTGTCACTCGATTAATATTCCGAATTCTTTATTTTTAGTCATTACTGCAGTACACTGTATCCTATAGTCAGTAGCCCAGTTTTGTTACATGAGCATAGAAAATACAGAAATGAATATGGAACGAATTACCTACAATTGTAATTGAATCGAGTTCAGCCTCACATCCATCCTCTTCATTGAGAACTCGTCAAAATTTCGATGAAAATAATAACATAGATTACTGCAAAATGACATTTCGACACCCGAACATAAACGAAGAGCTGAAAACAAAACGAGTAAAATAAACTCGAATCAATTTTCAGATCACGGGTCTCAATTCTTAGTCGGGGTTCGGTTTGCACTACACCTTTAAAAAATCTTCATTCCTTGCTATAATCTTTGTCTTTTTTTTTTATTTTCTCCAACCAAACACGAAACTAAACTAATGAACATTTCCTAACCAGGATCTGCTTGGATGGCCCTATCTCGCTCGTTTATCGACTACTGCGTGTGGGGCTGGGACAATCTCCCGCGCACGGTTCTCATGTACTACGCGAACTTCCTATCTTCCCCCGAAGGCTATTTCCACACGGTCATCTGCAACGCTCCCGAGTTTCGAAACACGACAGTTAACAGCGACCTTCACTTCATCTCATGGGACAATCCTCCGAAGCAGCACCCGCATTACCTCACGCTCGACGACATGCAGAGGATGGTCGACTCGAACGCCCCTTTCGCCCGGAAATTCCACCGAGACGACCCGGTGCTCGACAGGATCGACTCGGAGCTTCTTTTTAAAGGGAAAGGGATGGTTGTTCCCGGCGGGTGGTGCGTGGGGCCCACGGGAAACGGGTCCAACCCGTGCTCGGTTATAGGGGACGACACGAAGGTGCTGAGGCCGACGGAAGGGGCCAGGAGGCTCGAGAAGCTCACGGGTTTTCTTCTGTCGGAAGGTAATTTCAGGCCAAGACAATGCAAGAAGTAAAACGGGTCGAGTATTGGGTCGTGATTCTTGATTTGGGCTCTCGAGCAGTGGGATTTTGTTCGGGCAGGCTGTTTTATTTACATGGGCTCGAATTTCCGGGGCTGTTGCGAGCCGGGGGACAGGCTCGGGACAAGATGAGATTTTTCTTATAATCAAGAAGAGATATGGGNNTGGGTTTGCTTGAATGTGTTGTGTAATACTACAAGTCTATATGAGATTGGAGGTGGGTAGGAGTTAGAGGTAGAGAAGAAGTAGCTCAGATGCTGTGTTTGTGTTTAATGATTCAAAACAATTTGGTGTTTATTGGTTTTGTGTAATGTTGTTATCTATAGGCTGTAATATGTCTGATTTTATTGGCTCCAGCTTGGTGGCAACTGGCAAGAGCTTTCTTAATTTGGTTTTTCATGGTTTTATCATGCTCCATGTGCGAGTTTGAGTTTAGCTCGTTTATCAATATTTATGAGTTTAAATCGTAGAAAAATATATGAAAAAGAAAATTATGAGTCTTATTGAGTTTAGTTGAGCTTGGCTTGTTAAATAAACGAGTTTTAATCAAGCTTGAGTTTGACTCTTTTATCAAATGATACGAGTCAAACTCGAGCATTAACGAGCTGAGTCAAATCAAGCTCACGAGCAGCTCGTTTTGCTTAACAACCCATCCGCCCTTCATATAGTAAGAGCCAACAATAGTCTCATACATGTTCACATGAATGTGAACTGTGTGGTGAGTGTGTATTGATCCAATAATATTAGGATAGGACTGGATTTTCTTACCCTTTTTTGAGAATATAATTAATTGTGTTAAGTTGGATGAGATGAATAGTAAATTTTGTATTAAAAATTTATATCCAATGATAGTTTCATAAAAAAAGTTAT